CACTTAGTTTAAATAAGATCTGAATCTACACTGAATACATCTTTATTTTTTTGAAGGAGTTTTACAAAATTATGATGATTTTTTTATGGGCTGAATTTATTGTCTGTTCAAATAACTTCAGTATAAATTATTTAAAGGATGTTTAGCAGTAAATGATTCCTGCACAGCTCATGAAGAAAGAAGCAGTTCAAGATAGATACGGACTTTGACAGCATACTGCTCAATAGAATGGTTTCTGCATTTCAGATTATTGTGCTACTGCAATTTGGTGGTTATTTTATTCAAAACTGAGAAGCCAGTGGGGAGCTAAGAAAGTTAGAAAACCTTTCCTATGAGTAAAAATTCCCCCAGTCACTATGCTCTTTAAAACGTGATAGAAAGCATCCTTGCAATGACATCTACGAGCTCCCTCTGTACCCTTGGATGCAAGGTTTCAGGATTGTGTGTCCGGTTGGCTGAACTGTAGCCCAGGTCAGTCGTCCTTGAATGTAGGTAATGGTTCGCTCTTCTGGGGACAGATCTTACTGGTGAAAACTGAGGTGAAGAAATTACTGAGTACCTCAGTCTCACCTGTCCTTGGTCACTGGGTCCACCAGTCTGTTGAACAGTGGACCTACATGAATTTCCTTAGTCTTCTGTTTACCTCTAGTGCACTTGCAGAGGACATTTTTTGCGGGTCTTCACCTCCTTTGCTACTTTTAACTCTAGCTGAACTTCAGCTTTCCTAACTCTATCTTTGCCTGCATATGTATTCTCAGTGTTTCTGCTAAGAGCAAGAATTGGAAGGGTAAGGATAAGCAGTAGGGATGTGTTATTATGAGTGGAGCAGATGTGGGGAATTTAGGCTATTTATCTTAGGCTAACAGAAACATAACATAGCTAATGCTATGTTAATGATGCTAACCATCCTATACACAGCTCTTAATCTACAAAGAGATGGAGCTCCTGCTCTGAATCCTGGTCTCATGGTGTCTGTTTGCCTTTACTAACTGTAGGAGTTGGAGAGATTAACCTCATTAAAGTGAACTTAGTCTTTGTGAACACTTCCCGTGCTATGTAGGTGATACAGCATGGCTTTCTGGATAGTAGATACTAGCAGGAGGAGCTTTCACGTACATAGTTGCAACACATATGGAAGGAATGGGAAAGAAACCAATGGAGTGAGAATTGAAGGAGATAGACCCATGATACCAGTTGGAGCAAAACAACAAATATTTCTTAAAACACGATGGTTTGGGTCCTTAGAATGAATTGGGGTGAAATAAGGTAGAGGGAGCATGGATGCTCTGGGCATTTCTACGGTGAGGGATACTGCAGTGACTTTGGTTGGAAGATGGTCATCACATATTAAAGTCTAGGCCATGGAGAGGGAAATTGCAGTAGCCACAATGAGAGTTAGTAGAAGTACAGATAAGGGCACTTGTAGCAGCTGATATACTGACATCTGCTTGTGTTAATTCGAGTCTTTCAAAGCCTTCCCTTTGCTAAATGTAAGAAGTAGATTAAAGATCAGTACATGATAGACACTGTTTACTTTACTCACTGCCTGCTTCTGCTGCCAGTTGAGTCAGCTGCAAAACTTGCACTGAGAAAATGTTTGCACCTATAATGGCTTTTATTGAGCAGAGTGAAGAACTATGGAAGGGGCTCAATACTGCATAGCTTCAGAACTGGTCAGGGTATAATAGATTTTTTTTTTAGTTTAATTTCATTAATTGGACTGGGAACTCAAACTTGCCCAATGTGTGATTAACCTACTATAGAACGTGTCCTGCTATTGCATTTCAGTTGGAGGTCTCTGATGCCATAGCAAACACTGAAAAGAAGTACCATTGGTTTGAATAATAAAACTTGCATTTTGTTATTGCCATAGTGCTTACATTTGACATAAAAAAAATTAAAGAGAAAGTCAGCAACTGATACTCTGAAAAAGAGTCTGATTCTAACAGTTGAATCAAGTCAAGAGCTAAATTGCACAGTGGCTTCTCAGAGGTGAATGTTTTCACTTTTTGCTACTCAAACTTGCTTAGCCCTGTGGAATCCAAACAGCATTATAGCTTCTGCTGTGAAAGAAGTAGGAAAGTGAAACACAAGTCAAATATAAGTCAAATAAGAGGTTGACTATATAATATCAAAGCAATCTCAATTATGCAAACTCAGTTATATCTACATGTAACTATTACATATTATGATTAGTTTAATTATTTGATATTTTGTAATAAATAGTTTTTCCAAATTGTTAGTAGAGAAACAGTTCCTATTCTTTCAAATAGCACAAAATATTTAAATGCCAGCAGGGCAATATTTAGTCCTATGTGTAAATTGATTTTGAAAGCAAACTCTTTTATTAGTAATAAATACAAATCCTATCAACTGTGGAAGTGTAGCTCAGAAAAAAGCTGTATGCTCTTTATTTCATATTTATCCTAGTTTTCCTATATATATGTGTTGAATCTTGCTATATTTTTCCAAACTGAAAAAAACACCTCAGAAGTATTGCTTTTTAAAGTAATCAATTTAAATGTCACCTTTCTTATCTATATTTCATGTGCAAATGCTGGTTTTAACCAAATGATGCTTTGTTCTTCTTACCTGTATGCATCAGAGAAGCAATATGGTCCTTCAATAAAGTGCAGAAGAAGAAAAAAATAATTTTAAAAAAGTGTATATATCTTACTGACAACTATCCAACCCAGATATACTTGTTTTTCTGAAGATCTCCTAAGAAACAGTAGCAATTCACAATTCAGGGAACTCCTGTGACACCACATTTGTAGGTGGTCTGCAAAGCAGTACAGTCAAAGTTTTTGTATAGTCCGAACTAAGGCTGTAGACTTGCCATTGTAGCACGGTATTAGTACTGTCTGCATATTGAACAATGTTACAGTGGTTAATTTTTATATATTCCACATTCCATACCTCTGGTTATCTTGCAAAAAAATTGTCCTTTTAGGTTTAAGACTTTGGCAATTTGAAGCATTTCCAATGCTGCAGAGAACTACATCGCTGAAACTGAAAAAGCAAGAGGCAAAAGGGAAATTTATACTAAAGTTAAATATAAACAATCTAGAAGAAATAATGTCTTCTAATGTTACTTTTTGTGAAGACTTTTTGAGTCACAAAGGACTGAATTTTTTACTGTCATTTAAATACTTAGATTTGTATTCATTAGTAAGTATTTAATGAATAAAATATCGCTCGTGGTTATTTTGTGGGAAATACTGAAAATAGTGAAGTATTTTTGAGCGTATGTATGTAAAGAATCATTAAGCTACCATTCAAAAAAGAAAAAAAGATGAAGTTGTGAATATTATGTAGTTTAGCAGAGTAATTCTAAGAGACAAAATTATTTGCAATTGAATTTTTATTGAGGATTGGGATCTTAGTTGACTGAAATACTAGAGTTATGAATTAGATTTTCTTCTTCTTAAAGAGAATGTAGCATATTTTGTAGCATTCCTCAGCAAACTTAGCGTCAATGTGGTTCACTTTATGTTTTAATAATTAAAAAATTAAGTAATTAATAATTAATATAAGAGGTGAGGAATGGCTGATGGTTTCAGTAGTAGGAGTAGAGGAATGGACAACATTTCAGAGCTATCATGAAGCAAGTATTGGCAGGATTTGTTGGCAAGCCACTGAGTGGAGGAATAAATAGGATATCAAGGTTATGAACTGCAATAATGAAAAGGATGGTGGAGATGGGGAGTAACAGATGTCATACAATGTAGTCAATATGCTTGTATCTTGTACAGATTCAGTTTATGACTGAGCATTCAATTATAGATGTCAGAAAAACATCAGCAGGGAGAAGAGGAGAAACTAGATCCAAAACGTAAATTAGATAGTTGCTGAAGAAGTGATGGGGTTAAGAGTAATAAGAGCAAGTGAAGTCAGCCTGACTGCTTTTCTGAGGCAGATGGGAATTCAGAGAGTTTCCATGTCTCTGTGCTGTCCTGTGCCGTCCCTTGTTCCTCGTCCCGTGGCTGCCGACTCCTTTCGCACCGTGACTTGCCTTCACTCTGAGCTGTGACTTAGCACCAACGTAGACCAAGTAAAGAGCTTTGGGTGAATGGCATCCTGAGGGATGGTGACTTTTGGAAGGCCACCTGAGGGCACCTGGGCTCATGCGGTGTTGCTGAGACTCCTCCTGCCAGCTAAGCAGATGTGGGCTGTTCTCTGCCTTGTGCTGTTGATACCAGCTGTTTCTGGACTGAGGCAGTCATTGCATGTCATCACTATTCTTCCGGTCATCTGTGTATTTAAAATACGTATTTATAGAATGAACTGGAGATCTGGTGTTCTTTTTTTTTGATACTCAGCTGTGCTGGTGAAATCCTTCAAAATATCTGCTAGATCTGGCAAAGGTGTCAGAAAGTAGTACATGCTTCACGAGCCGAACTACGTTTTCTCTGGATGAAATTCTCAAACTTAGCTGAATGTCCTCTGTGGGAAGTATTCTTGTAACCAGAAAGTGAAATCTTAGCATGTGAAAATGTTATGATGCTTTCTTCTTTTCTAGATCAAAATAGGAAGCACTTTTTCCACAAAGTGACCGTACATATCAGAGGGGTGTGCGGGATACCAAATGGTATTGAGAAGTTTGGACAGAAGAGCACTGGAAAAACAGGGAGGGGTTTCTGTGTAAATCTGAGAAAGAACCTTACCTTTAAAACTGTTATTCTACCTATGTAACAAGAAGCACAATCCAGCTGCACTAAAAATTATGCAAAAGCTGTGGAGGACAAAATAGGGGAAAAAAATGATGATTGACTAGGGCTGCTGCTTCTTGTTGAAATAAAATGTAGCTGGCTACTGATTCCAGGGCTGTGTAGTGACAATGGTTGCAAAGTACATCAAAGTCAGGGTTTCTGGTCTCCTTGCAGCGTTAAAAATATGCAGCAGATAACTGATTAAAGTATTTTTATTAATTATTATTTAAAATGGATATGTCCTTGCATAAAACAAAACTCATGATTTCTCTATTTCCACACAGCCGAGGCAGCGAGAACAGACTAGCACTACGGCGCCAGACTATTCTCCGGGAGAAGGGGAGGAGGCAGGCCAGTCGAGGGCCAGCGTATATGTTTAATGATCACTCAACAAGTCTTTCTCTTGAGGAGGAGCGCTTTTTGGATGCAGCAGAATACGGAAATATTCCAGTGATTCGCAAAATGCTGGAAGAATGTCCCTCACTCAATGTGAACTGTGTGGACTATATGGGACAGAACGCCTTGCAGCTGGCAGTTGCCAATGAGCACCTGGAGATTACGGAACTTCTGCTGAAGAAGGAGAACCTGTCTCGGGTTGGGGATGCCTTGCTTTTGGCTATTAGCAAAGGTTATGTTCGGATAGTGGAAGCCATCCTAAACCATCCCGCATTTGCTGAAGGCAAGAGGCTTGCATTGAGTCCTAGCCAGTCGGAGCTCCAGCACGATGACTTCTATGCATACGATGAAGATGGCACACGATTTTCCCATGATGTTACACCGATCATTCTGGCCGCTCACTGCCATGAGTATGAGATCGTCCACACTCTGCTGAGAAAAGGAGCTCGGATCGATAGGCCACATGACTATTTCTGCAAGTGCAGTGAATGCAATCAGAAACAAAAACATGACTCTTTCAGCCATTCTAGATCCAGAATTAATGCCTACAAAGGTCTGGCCAGCCCTGCTTATCTGTCTTTGTCCAGTGAAGACCCTGTAATGACTGCCTTAGAGCTCAGCAATGAGCTGGCCGTGCTTGCCAACATTGAAAAAGAGTTTAAGGTGAGTAGAAGGATACTGATTCTGACAGACACTGAATTGCAAAGTTCAATCAAGGGTCTTTCTTCCATTCCTTGAGCAGTAAGAGATCAGCATCATCTTCATAAATCGGTAGGATAATGTGGGAAAAGATGTAATTATTTAATGAATGCAAGATTTAAATCTTTGTGACTGGCTTACTGCTCTGTGCTGATTGTAATTCGTGCTGCTGATGTAGAATGGGCCAGTGAACTCACTTTCCACTTCCTGTCGGGCAGGATAGTAAAGGATGCCCTTCAAACCCACGGGAGGAGCTGACTTAGGGCAGGGGAAAGAGGAGACTGAGTTGGTACAGTTTGGTCACGTATACAAGACAAATTGCATGATTCTATTAAACCCTGATGCATTCTCACTATTTTCTTGCAGTTGGACTGAAAGCTTTCTTGCTCCTCGCAATGTTTTGCATTTATTCACAAAAAGGACTCTAAATAATGTCCTTCTTTTCCTTTTTTAATATGCTGCTTTTCTCTGGTATTTCTACTCACCGCTTCCTCTTTTTGACCTATTTGTACTGAGTTATATGTGAACTCTGTGAAGTTAAAGACTTTTTCAGTGTTATATAGAATTTTTAAGGTTTCAGAAATGCATGATTTTGAAAAAAAAAAAAAAAAATGGTTGAGACCCAGATATTCAAGGCCCCTTAGAACCTTGAAGCGTGAGTATTCTTTGTTTTGGTTTGGTTTGGTTTTTTGTTATGTAGATACAACGGTACACAACCTACAAAAGCATTTACCACAGTTTATTTGTGTTAAGACAGTAAGAATGTAAGCTCTTTGCTCTCAGTAAATGCAAAGTCAGGCCTCGTTAATTGGGAGCGTTAATTTTGAATTAGGTTAGTGAAAATCCCTTGGACTGGATTTACCTTATGGGACCCTGTTGAATGCAGATGCTAGTATATGATACTACTGTGATAGAGCAAGATATGTAGACTTCACTAGCAAGAGATCAACCCCTCTCCAAAGCAGTAACAGAATAATTTCCATCATTGTGTTAGGAAGAGTTTGAAGTTGTCGTGATCGATATTTAATGTTAATCTTCGTAGCAATGGCACAGTTCGCAAGGCCGTGAACCCGTCTCTGCTCAGCCAACCTGAGCTGAGATGCTGCATTTCTGAATTAATTACTCGAGTCATGCTCATAGGTATATCTTTGTGGCACCAGTCAGTTGTAAGAAGCTGAAATACTTCTTGGAAAGGGAAAAGAATGAGAAGGAATGTGCAAGTGGATCTTAAAAACAGCAGCTAAACAGCTGGAATAGGAGCAGAGGAGAATTTTTATTTTATATCAATAGGATGAAATGCTGGGAAGAACATTTCAGCGTAATGCAGAGGAGGAGCATCTGCCCCATGAAGTCCCTGGCAGAAATCCTTAGGACCTCAGTGGACTTGAGATTTTGTCCACTGCTTTCATGTACAGTTCAGAGAAGAGTATTTAAACCACATATTCTTGTTTCTTTCTCTTTAGCAGCTGCTGAAGATGTGAACAAAAGGACTTGATTAACTTAAAGGGGAGTAAATTTAGAACAGAACAGAAAAACATTTTTCATACACCATAAATGCAGCCTGTTAGGTTCACAGCTATGTCGAGATAAATAGCATGTCTGATTTGTAGGGACTGCATAGCTCTGTTTACCACAGTTGGAGTGACACAAGCTAAGACTATTAGAAAGATGAATAAAATCATCATCTGGAACAGTCAGCAAGAAGTGTCCTTCAAGTGTGTGCTGCAGTACACAGCTGGCGAGATGAACTGGGAGCACAGTCTTTGTCCCTGGTGCCACCAGAGCAGGGAATGGAGCACACCAGTGAGGAAAGATGGGCTGCTTCAGAGAGCAAGCTTCTACAGCCTGCCCTGAAGTGCCATGAGGAGGTCCTTCCTGAGTTACTTCTGGTTTTTCAGTTCCTCTTTTGTCTCAGTTGCTTTCTCTAAAATGAGAGCTCCACTTCTAGTGTAGTGTTATATACAGAATTGCATCAGAGATTTTGAGGTACTGTCCCTCAGCAGAAGCAGGAGGCTAGACAAGAGACAGAGCAGCCCCATGGTGCTGGATCTTAACCAGCCAAGCTCTGCTGGGGATGTAGATACTCTTTAGAGTAGAGTGAAGGTGAATAGGAACAATGAGGAGCAGGAGCACAAGACGACATGGAAGTTTAACTCTCCTGTAAATTAAGATTTCACCAGGAGCAGGCAGCTGGCAACGTAAGGTCTTTTGGGAACATTTTTGTAGGTACTAAAATCATGTGGTGGTTCTGGATGAATATTAAAGACCATGGAGTACATATATAGGTGCATTGACGAGAGTTAACATTTACACTATTGGTAAGTGATAATTTTTACAGTATCTAGACAGGCTGGAGGCTTGACTGAGAAATACCTGGCTTGGGTTCAGTGCAGACAGTACAAAGGTTGTGTGTACAAGTTGGAGGAAATGGATGCTGTCATCTTTACTGAGTCTGGGCTTGTTTGTGCTTCTGCAAGCTCTCATCCGTGCTTGCAGCAATTTATCTAAAAATTGTTACCCTTACTTTATTTCAGGAGTTTGCTACAATTATCCAGATAGTGTAGTCCCTGTGTAAAAATGTGTTTTTCGTAAAAATGTGTTACCATGTTAGTGTGACCAAAGCAAGTATATTTTTAGTGCATAGATTAGCTGGACATGGCAAATCTTTAGCTCCACCTAGGGTTTGCCTGAGCCATTTAAAGTATTTCAAACCTTACCTAAATTAACTTTGTAGTAATACACTGTTTTAAAAGTCACCTCTTTTATAGTGCTATTGGGGTATTGTTGCAGGAGACCTTCCTAGTGGGTGCCTACAGCAACCAGTGGCACAGATAATTCCCAGGTCTTCCTCAAAGGCAATGGAAAGGGGTAATGCTCAACTCTGATGCTGGTTTCATGACTGTCTTATAAATTACTTCTCTCCTGTCTTACAGTATCAGTTAATGTTAGAGATAACACTGACCGTGAAACTGTGATTCACACAAAATAGCAAATGCCATAATCAGCAGAAACCACGATTCTCTGGAATAAACTTTCTTTGCTCCACACATCTGTAGTGCTGTAATCTGGCATTACATGCTGGTTGCATCTGGTTGCAGCTATTGTTTTTACAAGTGTTTTGGAGGATCATTCTTTATTAGGAGTAAAACCAGAAAGAAGTACAAGATGTCTTCTGAAGGAAGACTAACTGGACAGAGGTGTCAAGCACAGTGTTGGAATATTTCTGTACCAAGCAAACAGCTAATTTAGGCATCCTGAGTCATTCTGAGATCTTCAGGATTTTCTGAACGCCATTTAATTTAGCTTTTTATGACATGGCTAAGTGTGCAGCTTTACAAAGTTTGATATTATGTAGAATATTTTTATTTTGGGGGATTGTGCTCCTGTTTTCTGTCATCTAAATAATTTTCCCACCCGAGAGCTAATAGCTCTACTGTGTCCATAAGGATGTAGATGATATATGACAGATGTTGTCCTGCAGAGATGTAGCCTGGAGTTTTAAGAGGGACAGCTGTGGCCTAGCACTGTTCAAAATGGATAGGATTTGCATTTAGTACAAAGTCCACTGCAGCTATAATGGCAAGAAACTGTTTTGTTGTTTAATGGGATGGAGTGGAAAACGTATTTTTAAATTAAATGTAGATATGTTACTGTTCACTGTAGATTAATACCCCTAATAAGGTCATCTGATTCTGCTTTTCTGATGAGAAGCAAAATTCAGTTTATCATCTCAAAGTCTGATTTTTCTGTTTGTTTTCATTTATACAACATTTATACAATTTACAGAAATCAGATCTCAGTCTTCATTATGGGTATTGTCAGCTCTCTTAAAGATAAGGTAACATCACCTTTTAGAGAACTGAGGCACTGAAAGGAGTAGGGACCACCTTTGTAAGGGGAATAAAGTGTTTATCTATCTACTAAGGTGCCTAAACTCAGTGTTTAGGTCGCACTTACATTCACAAGTCACTTTGAAATCCTAAATTCTCATATGGCAGTACCCATGTTTCTGGTCTTGGCCTCTGCAGTTCACTAAGCAGAGCCAGGACGTGGTCTGGAGCACTGCTCCATCTCATCTGTGGGGTTCAGCCTGTGTCCCGAGAGCATTTTCATCCCGGGCACAGTCTGGGGGACAGCAGGATCCTGTGACCGGTCACAGGAGGCTGCATGGAGAAAACCCCTTTCTTCTGGGAGAAACAGCCGTGGCGATGCTCTCCTGGCCGTGTTCTCCTGCTTAGGTGATCAGAGGTAAGGCAAATGATGGTTAGCTGAGGTTTTCAGAGTGACCGTGACCTGCTTGATGTCTTACCTGGGACACCAAGATGTCCTGACTGCAGCTGCTCCTACCACAAAGGGCAGGTGACCCCTCTCAACAGCAGCCACTGTCACCCCCACCCCTCCTGTCATTCCTCTGCCACCAGCATCTTGTTCCCCTGGTTCCTCATTCCCCGTAGCACTCACCCCAAATTATCACCTTCCTTTTGCATGGTGGGAACAGCCAGTGCTGCCCCCTTGTCCTTGGTGTGGCAAAATTTGGCAAAATTGTGGTTTTCCTAAACTGTTGAGGAGCCCTGAACCAATGTTGTCCATGCATAAAATAAAGCACAAGCATGCTTTATTGCAGAATTAAGGGCTGATTCTTTTTAGAGCCTCCAACTGTAATTTAACTGCTAACTACCTTCTCAAGTCTCCCAGGACTGCTTTTTTAATTCATTAAGTTTACAATTTGCAGTAAAGGAGAACTCGTGGAATTATCCATATACCTTTGGCCAGCTTCAAAAATAAGTTAAGCTAAACAGATTGCCACGTTCCCTTGGCTCACATTAATGGTAAGAGACATGTGAGACTCTGGGGAGTGGGAATTTTCTGTGCGTGTGTGACAGAGAGTCACTGAGACGGCAAGAAGAGCGTGTTCATCATTTTTACTGTCACTACGCATTGAAGTGGCCCAAGGAGATGAGGGGCAAAAGGCGGACCGTGCAGTAGTCTCTTTTTGTTTTGAGACTACCCAAAGACATTGGACTCCACCATGGCGTAATGGTCTCCTCACATACTGTTTTGAAAATCCATGTCATGTCTCAGTCACCAGAGCTGGAAAATAGTGATGAAGAGTGTGTGTGAGTATGCATGTATATATGTATCTCCAGCAGAGAAGATGCTCATACCAAAAAAACAGTGACTGAGAAGACTATTTGGTAGTTAAAGCAATAAGCAACTGACCCTGCTGTTGTAGAGCAACATTTTGGGTCACACGGTGAAGTCTGTAGTGAGATATTTGAGCTAGAGAGCATTGAGTTGAAGTTAAGAGATGTGGTGTCACCATACTGTCAGTAGCACTGCTGACACTGTTGCTGGAAAACAGCAATCAAATCTTGTGTTTGCAAGCTAAAAGAGATGTTGGAAAATGAGAAAGGTAAGATTTACAAGAATAATGCAAGGCCTAAGAAAATTCAATATATTTATGTAATTCTCAAGAAGGTTGGGAAGTTGTTTAGATGTGTTCTCTCTAAGATACTCATTTTGTCCAATTGAGATGTCTACAGTGTAACTTTCTGCATCTGAGCTCATTATCTAGACTTCTGCTACAGTCAATGAACAGAAAAATTTCCCCTGTGCTATTCATCTCAACTTGAAATAGTCATTAAAATATGTCATACAATATTTCTGAAAGTATTTTTTTACTTTCAGCTGTCTCTAAAGCAGGTCTAGAGAAGTAACTCAGGTGTAAAAATTGATAATGTAGATGTCCAAGGTCACTAAGGTGAGACGAATCCTACTCTTTGAACATTCAGGGGAGGTAGATGCCTGATTACAAAGTGCTGTTAATCTACCAGAAAAACTCATAAGGAGCTATTGATGCTCACAGTTGTGTAGCTGGGATGTAGAACTATTTCTCCCATGTTAGATCTAAACAGCAAGTTTTCTTCTTTCTTCTTTTCTTTTCTAGAATGATTACAAGAAATTGTCTATGCAATGCAAGGATTTTGTAGTTGGACTCCTTGATTTGTGCAGAAATACAGAAGAAGTGGAAGCTATTTTGAATGGTGATGTAGAGATGAGCCATAATAATGGAGAACACGGCCGCCCCAGCCTTAGCCGCTTAAAACTCGCCATTAAGTATGAAGTTAAAAAAGTAAGCAATTATGTTAATCAAACAGACATGTCATGATAGTGGTATTAAATTGTGCTATTATTAAATGTTTATGTTTTGGTAGCCTATGACACTTAAACTAACATTTGGGCCCTTCTGCACAGTGTATTTTACAAACAAAAGAATACTTGCCCCAAATAGCTTGCAATATAAACAAGAAGGAGATATTCAGAGTGGATGCTGGTCACAGTGCGTATAAGAGCAAATGGCTCTAAAAAAATCTGTAGCTAGATGCAAAATTTGTAGATATTTACTTGTTTTTAGTTTTAATCTATTTTGAAAAAGATGGAAGAAATTTGCATGACTTTTGCAGCCTGGAAAAATATAAGATTTAATAAAAACCAGAGGGTAGCACAGCAGTCCTGTGCACTGCTTGATAGCAAATATTAATACACATTTTTGTCAAGCTGTTGTGTCTTACTCGAAAAGTTGAGAAAACTTAGTGACACTGCATGTCTCACAGAAAATGTGTATTTGTCTGTATAGAGGGTCAGATACACAATCTAGGAGTAACAGTACTGTGGTTCTCACTTCTGAAGAACTGCAGGCTCCGGGCAGTGTTGAATACAGGAGTTACTGTCCCTTCTTTGGCTTCCTTTCATTTCTGCTGCCAGTTTAATACCCTGGTCTGCATCTCAAAAGTGATCAGTAAAACCAGCGGAGTTAGTAGCTGCACCAAGACCCTTGAAGTACCCAGAAGACTTCTCTTGGATACTATAGGTTGTAAAGTTCTGGGTGACGTCTGTGAACCAGGGAGAAATTATTTGTGTGATGAAGTTTTGGACAACCGAAGATCAAGAAGATACAGCTCAGGAGTATACGAAAGCAGATTACGCTAAAGTAGAGCTATCTCCTGAGAGAGCAGCAAGACCTTTGATAAAACTCTTCCTACCTAATGAAATGGATCAGATCAACACTGTGAAAATAAACAATATCTTATTTTAACAACAGCAAAATAGATAGGGAATCAGGACTCTCTAAAATCCAGTATGGACTGAATGTACAGATCTAATTTATCAGGGAAGGGTTGCAGATTTTTTTACAAAAATTGAGTTCACATCTCTGGGGAACACCTAAAACATATAAATGTGAGGAGTGTTTATGTGTTCATGAAGGGGAGAAAAAAAGAAAATAATTTTGACTGAAGAGCACCTACCAGCATATGAACACAAACCTGCAAAACACTTGGCAAGCTATGATCACTAAAGAGAGCTGAAACGACTTTTAGAGAGAAGATTCCATGTTGACCTTGTCCTTCATAGTATTTGAGTCTTAATCCTTCCCTGAATTTCAACTTTCTTTCAAGATTTTCTCTTGCATGAATAAAGACATTTCTTGTACCTTCAACCAGTCATCATTTAAATATAGAGAACTATTTTAGAAAAAAAATACTAGAATCAGTTAAATTTTTAATTGTATTTCCAGGTCTAGACTTAAAAATTACAGTGCACAAGAATCCACTGTTTATTAATATCTACCTTTGTAAGATGTTTCTTACACTTTCCAGAGGTTTTGACAGAAAAGAGGGTTGTAGGCCAAACTTCTCAGTTTTGCACAGTTTGTCCAAAAGATTCCAGAATCATGTTATAAATAGTCCTCAGCTGATTTCCTGCAAAAATGACAGCTGTTTTCTTACGCCAGCTGAAAAAAAAAAGGGTATATTTTGATTTAGCATGTGAAATATGGCATATTCTTTCTTTCATAACTAAAGACTATATAGCATCCTTTGCAGAACAGAACTTTAAAGTTTTGGAATTTCTGAAGTAGTAACATGAAAATTATAAATGTCAGAAACAAGTAGAGTTTGTCCAGATAAAGCTTATGTTTAATTACCCTTAGGTGAATATTGATAGTTTGTGATGGAACACAGTGTCAATAAAATAATAGTTTTTTAAATTAAAGTATTTATTGTTGCTGATAGCAACATGCCTGCATGCTGGAGGATTATGCTCATCAAATAACTTTTTCTTATACCCTTGTAGAATCCACTGTTTATTAATATCTACCTTTGTAAGATGTTTCTTACACTTTCCAGAGGTTTTGACAGAAAAGAGGGTTGTAGGCCAAACTTCTCAGTTTTGCACAGTTTGTCCAAAAGATTCCAGAATCATGTTATAAATAGTCCTCAGCTGATTTCCTGCAAAAATGACAGCTGTTTTCTTACGCCAGCTGAAAAAAAACCGGTATATTTTGTATTAGCATGTGAAATATGGCATATTCTTTCTTTCATAACTAAAGACTATATAGCATCCTTTGCAGAACAGAACTTTAAAGTTTTGGAATTTCTGAAGTAGTAACATGAAAATTATAAATGTCAGAAACAAGTAGAGTTTGTCCAGATAAAGCTTATGTTTAATTACCCTTAGGTGAATATTGATAGTTTGTGATGGAACATAGTGTCAATAAAATGATAGTTTTTTTAATTAAAGTATTTATTGTTGCTGATAGCAACATGCCTGCATGCTGGAGGATTATGCTCATCAAATAACTTTTTCTTATACCCTTGTTAATGCTCCTTTGAATATAAGCTGAGTTGTTGCTGTTCCAGCATTCTTAATGTGCTTCATATGGCTGTTATTTTAATAAAAGACACTCTGGTAGCAATATTATTTTTGTGCTCTTTTTCTTTGTTACAGTTTGTAGCACATCCAAACTGCCAGCAACAACTTCTCTCAATCTGGTATGAGAATTTGTCAGGTTTACGACAGCAGACCATGGCAGTGAAGTTTCTGGTTGTTCTTGCTGTTGCAGTAGGGCTGCCATTCCTTTCAATGGCTTACTGGATTGCTCCTTGCAGTAAGGTCAGTCTGTGAAATCTTATAATGGCCTTTTATTAACTCCTGTGTCATGTGTATGTAGATTCTTGTCTGGCAAAAATGAAGCATGAGTTTAAATTACTGACATGCTTAAATAATACTTCAGAAACTTGTTATTTTAAAGCTGAGTTAGAATGGAATGGCTGCAAGATTGAATATTCTGACAACTGTAATTAAGACAGGTAAATGTATTGTGTTAAATGCAATGTATATTAAATTAAATTACAATGGTTGAGCAAGGGTTGCCTTGTAGAAATTGCACTTTGGAAACAGTCAAACTATTCTTCATTTAGTTGCCTTAATAAGCAGGTGCAGAGGATCCTCATTTCCCATTGATTCAGAGCTAGACTAAGTTGAAGCTGTGGGTTGATTCCAATTACCTCAAAGGAAATTTTATTTTTGATGATTAAAAATTAATAGATAAAAGTCACTGAAACATGAATGCCAGAAATTAAAACAATTGTCATCGGTTTTCTAGAAGTCAAAGTGAACCGTGTTGGCTTGTCAAGACAGTGCTAATACTCATTATATTTCGTTATATTTTTAAAATGGTCACACAGCCTCCCCTGCATCCATTTATAATGCACTCTCTGGATTTGGATGCTACCATTGTACCTGTTTTGGGTGATATATGGTATGGAAAGCCTTTCGACTAAAGATGGGTTACAATCTCTGACCTCTCTGAACTTTGTGTTGAATCTCTGTTTTAGTTGATCACTATCCATTTTAAATGGACACTGATGAAAAATTTCCCTTGAGAGTATGTTAGAGGAAACAAATGGAATCCTTCAGGATTGTTCAACAGGTTACAGTATAACATCCATGGGTTTAGCAGGTTGAATCCTGTGCACATACAATGGTTCCAGGTGAGGAGGAAAGTTGAAAGAGAACATTGAGGTCTTTGTGAGTTTTTTTTTTATTGTCCTCTAAGAGGAGAAAAGTGAGCCTTTTTTGTTTTGCCGTATTTTTCATTTCTTTCAGCCTGGACAATAAAAATCAGTTATATCATTTTCACTTTTCTGTATAGTGACTAGAACTCTTATGAATACTTTCGTTTTAACACACACCTTGAGATTCAACATACTTCAGTAATTGGTTTTCAACTATAGCAGTGACTTACCTGTTTCCTGTTTTGCTTTTTCAATGATTTATTGAATCTTAAAGTAATTTTGAACTGTTGTACATTGTGAAAAAGCTATTTCAGAGTGGCTTTTTAAAGTCAAGCTTCAAGGGACAGCATCCTTTAAGGTTTCACTTCCTCTGTCACTATTTTAATTGTCTCATCATGCAATTTATATGTTGAATGCTTTTTGTTTCATTATATTCTGCAAATGTAAAATCTAATCCGCCTTGTTCACCGGTTGCCATTTCTTACCTTGTGCTTCACTCATATTTCAAAATTTGATTCTTCTGTTTTTTGAAGACAAAAATGTTCACTGTTTAATTTCAGGATAGGATGACTTCAATACAGAACATGATCTGTATCAACAGAGTCCATTCTGTGTATGAACTGATGGAATTTTATAAACCTCCTTCTACTGAGATAAAGTACCCATTCTTTTTCCAGGTTTGGCACTATAGGGCACAGTGAGAGAAGAGAGAGAAAATAACTCACAGCATTTGTGGTGAAAATAACAGCTTGCAGGGGAGTTATTCTGGCATGTTTCTTTATATTCTCATGCCATGGCTCTGAGAAGGGCAAAAATGTCTTTGTGACATTTGCAACATCTCAGTTACCTGTATAGCTCACCAGTTTTTCTTTAGGAAGAAGTTAATTTGAGCTTGGACCACAGATAACTGAATTGAGAGTTTCAGATCTGGAAGAGATTTCATAGAAATACATGGACAAAGTCCTGTTGATTTGGCAGATATTCACTAGTGTCAGATGCTGAAAGGAATTAAGATTGTCTGTTATTTGAGTTTCAGCCAGCAATCCACATGGAGGCACTTCAAAGTTTTGTGGACTTTTTGCTCTGCATTTCTAATTGGTAATTCAGTGTAACTACTGACATAATTAACAAAAAACTTCTAGAATACTATTTTATTACATGACATTTTGAAAGAGTAAAAACTTCTTTCAGTCATCTCTAATATCTGTGCTGTTCACTTCTAATTAATGATACAATTTAGATTTTTAGCTTTATGAATTCATAAGTAATTGATTCAGCCCCTGGCCAAGATGAGGGATCTGAATTTGAAATGGAGTCTTCTTTTGCTGTTCCCAGCCACCTGGGGTTGGCATTTCTAAAGAAGTAACTTGGTAAGTCCCTACATGCTTTCTAGAAGTGTGTTCTGAGGGTTATGTACATTCCTCTTTTGCCCTATGGTAGAGGAAAAGAAATTGAACATGATGTCCAGTATACAAAGAACTAGGAAATTGTTCTTCCTAAAAAAGTATATGCATTATCTCTTTTCTGTTATCAAGCCTTTTCTCCTTTGTGATAGATGTGCTACCTGGAGTCCTATTTTATAATTTCTTTATCAGTGCCATACTCCATGATGTTACAATACTGATTATTTATGCAGAGTCAGAAGGGGTCAATAATGTGAATCACGGACTCCAGTCGCCAGTGATTTGAGGTGACCTATATACAAACAAATATATGTTGAAGTATCCACAGTATAACTATTGCATATCTTGTCCTAACCCAAACCAACCTATAAAACACTCTCTAAAACTCTATAGCAAACAAAAGACCATAGCACAGAGGATCAGAAACAAGAAAAAAAAACCCACAAACAACCCGCTTAGTTTACAGAAGGAGATTCAGAGCATTTAGAAGATCATATCCTTGGTCTATGCAATGGGAGGGAATTTATCATGTCAAAATGCACAGTGAAAGTGTATTAAGAAGTCACTCTAGCTTATAGAAAAGTCCAAACTTGCAAGATTATGGCCTTGTCTTTACATGTTGCTCTTTCCTTCCCTGATTCATATTTTCTGACCTATATCTTCTCCATAAAGAGATTTGGAATTTTTAAAGTGTCATTTCAAAATTTTATTGCATCACTGTTATTTGGCAATGTCATAACTTCCAGCATTCATGTAATCAGTTCAACCATAGTCAGTCCTGCTTCCAGGGAGATTTTACTGTGTATGTAAAATATAATTTTCTGTCTCTTTTGAAGGGATGGGAAGAGGGAACACTAGGAGTTCAGTCTTTTAGATTTTAAACTTTTTGATCAAGGGATATGTTAACATTACCTTCTTCAGTATGTTTTCTTTCCTGGCTATGTCTCTTTCTGGCATCCGTCTCCTAACCCATCTTTGTTTGTGAACACAAGAATAATGCATTTAAAAGGACACCGTCAAGGTACTTTATCATTTTCCAGCTCTGCTTTGTTGTGTGTTGTTTATGACTGTTCCTTCCTAGCTTGAAATGAAAGCTATCCCCATGGCAATTACCTGTTCTCTTTGTAGTTCACGCAGAATAATTGGTTGTTGAAGTTCATCTCATGAGGCTGATGGAATATCTTATTTAATAAAAGATAAATTAATTTTATTGAGGGAGAAACTTAATGAATGGCATGAGTTTGCAAAATAATATAAATGAGAAGGAAGATAAAATTTTGTGCCTGCTAACCTTGACAGTGTTCCTTTAACAGTATCTTCTTTTTACATTTGTCTAGTTTTCTTAATGTTATCTGTATTTGAGACCTTACCATCGCATCCTCGACTGCATTCTCTTATTCTGTGTTTCTGTAAAAGCTCACTGTAAGGACAACAAAATTTGACTTTGATATTGAAACAAGTGTAGCAAAAATACGAATACCAATAACTTATCTTTCTGCTTTCCTCTCCCTTTTCCAGACCACAGATTGTTATATGTTTCAGCTGAGAACCATGACACTTGCTTTCAATTCTTTCCAAGTAATTTTTTTCAGATATGGATACTGTCGTCATCTAAAATAAAAATATATTTTTCTGTAGCTGCTAACTAAGTGAACAAGCTAAGACTTTTACTATTAATATAGGCACTGTAAAAAATAAAGTAAATAATTGCTGAAAGTTCAGCCTTTAGTGAGTTTCTGTGGAATTTTAGGATTTTTAAGTGTTGCACTAAATCGTTTAAAGTTGTTCTTAGTCATGACAAAATTAAGGACATTTCCATTAAAGGAGTCAGGAAAGAAATTAGGACACTGCAGAACTATAAACATAACCTTTTGAGGCCTCATGACTTATTTTCAAAAAAGAAAAAAAGTTGGGGAAAACTACACAATAACTGTGCTAGATTGAGTATCATGTCAGTCAGGAAACAGAATTCTTTAGTCGTAATTTACTCCTGGTGATAATTTAATGCTTTTAGTAAGTGTTAAAATCTCATTTTCTTTGTTGCCTCATAAAGATGACTAGCATGTAAGAAATTCAACAACTATAATAAATTTTTCTCTTGATTATCTGTAATAGACATAGATGCCCCAAAATAATTACAGAATTATTTCAAAACATTGAATTAAAAATAGATATATGGTGAAACTGAGAGATTATCCCTCTGAAAACAGCAAATAAGTAGAAACTTTTAAAGGTGACTGTCAACATGGCGTTATAGTATACAACTTTTTCCCAATATTTGTTCCTGCGTGTTATTGAAATATATATTTTTCTGTGTTACTGTTCTTTTTACAAATTTTTTATTTTGGAAGAAGGCAATGCAATGTCCTTGTGTTTCATAACCTCTGTTGCAGCTGGGGAGGATAATGCGTGGACCATTTATGAAGTTTGTAGCCCATGCAGCCTCTTTCACCATTTTTCTTGGTCTACTTGTCATGAATGCAGCTGACAGATTTGATGGCACCAAACTCCGACCTAATGAAACAACAGGCAATGTAAAACAGCTATTTAGGATGAAAACATCCTGTTTCTCATGGATGGAGATGCTCATTATTTCTTGGGTAATAGGTAAAGATTGATTTTTGCTTAAATTTGTCTTGCTATAATTTCAGTGAAGCTGGACGCAGTTTAATCCTTTGCTATTATGTGTGAAAATTGCAACAAAGGGATTTTATTCGCCTGGCTGCATTCCCACATTGGCCTCATGTCTCTTATTGGATGTCAGCAGGATTCACGTGTGCCTAGTTAATCACAGACATTCAGGTTAAGGACTTAGGTGAATTCTACGTCATCTGAATATGAATTAATTCAATTTTATGAATATCAAAGGAAAGCATCTACCAGTTTTCTGGGGTTTTTTTTTGAGTCAGGCTGTGTCAACTCTCAAGGGGAAAGATTTCCACATCATGGGCCAAGTTTTTTTGTGTCCAATTGTCTCTTTCTGCTAAGATTATCTTATTTTGAAAGTATGCCTGCAGACTTAATAATGTGTAGCTGAATGTATTATTGACAAAAGAGAAGAAGAATATAGACCCCTGAACATTCAGCAGTAGACTTTTCTGTCCCAACATAGGGATGAAATTAATACTATGAATAGTGTTCTGAGCTGACCCACTCAGTTCAGTGATGCAGTAATATTCAGCATCAGAACTTGAGCGCAGACCGTCAAAAATATTTTAGCTGTCTGATTCTTATTTACAAGTCTAGTACTATTTATTCCAATGGGGGTTAGATGCCCAAATATTTTAAGGAACTGAGTTCTGGTTGTTAGTTAAGTCAGTAATATGGGAGGGTTAGGTCCAACCTAAGTAAAATCTGTTTCCATTCAAGAGCTTATGCATTTAAAATATTTTGCTTTTATGAACTCTCCGTGATTGAAATTGGAGCCATTTGTACACCAACTGATTCTTACAGCTTTAAAAGACATTGACAATCTTTATTTTTTTTAATCATAAAGCTGTTTATAAATCAATATAATTGTGTTTTCTAGGAATAATATGGCACTTGGGTTTCCAAATATTCTGTAAATATCAAAGTTTTCATCTGATAATAAAGTAAATAATAATTTCCCAATTTGAAGTTCTAGTTTGCTAATTTAATCGATTTTTATTTATTTCGATGTCGTGCATGACCATTATGAAAAATTGATTCAGTGCGTACAGATGTAGCATTGAATTTAATTACTGTAATTAACATTATAATTGTCCTTATCTGAAAAATGATGGTAAGTTCCTTCAGATAATTTGATAAGTGCGAAAAATAATGACATTATTCCAATTCAGTTTTTTTATTAACTCTCTTTAGAATCCTAGAAATGTAGTTCATTATTAAATAAATTTTATCTTGAATAGGAAAAGGATTTACTCAATAAAAAAGGTGCCATAAACTAATACTGTACTTCTATATTTTATTATTAAGGGAGAATAATTAGGAATCAAATAGATTCTTTTCCCCTATTGAAGAAGCATTAGGTCTGTTTCTTACTTTTGTGCTCATTTCTCACATACATTTGCAATTTCAGTAAAAGAGACTGTACCCAGGGTACTGTGCAAATAAGAAAATGTGAATTCTGCTATTAGTTCTACCACTCCTGTATGATCATGCCAGGGATTTCTGCTCTTTCCATCTCTTCCCGTGTCTGTAACAGATGGTAATACTCACATCCCATTCGTCTCTTTGAAAGCTTTTGTAGTTGTACAGGAAAAAGCAGTGTGAAAGATTATTATTACTCACATGAGAAAGAAGTACTGGAATCTGTATGAATTGGCAGGTTCATGGATTTTAGTTTGTGTTCAAACTCCCACTGACCAAAATAGTTTTGAGTTTGACTGTAACCAAGAGCATATCCTATACATCATAAAATATCAAATAAAACAAACATTAAGATAAAAGAATACACTGTTTTCTCTGTTCTGTCTTACACAGGCATGATATGGTCTGAATGTAAAGAAATTTGGTCTCAAGGTCCAAAGGAGTACCTTTTTGAGTTATGGAATATGCTTGATTTTGGTATGTTAGCAATTTTTGCAGCATCATTCATAGCAAGGTTTATGGCATTTTGGCATGCATCCAGAGCCCAGAACTTCGTTGATGCAAATATGAAAGATCTGACAAGTCCAACACTGGAGCCCAACATAAGATACTACACCTTGGGTGAGTTGATTGCACATAATTAAATTTACTTCTTGGGCCAAGATGAATTGATTTTCTGTTAATAAGTCTCCAATACTTTAGTTCCACAATGTACTGCTTAAGAAATTCCCACCCCTTCTTCTCTTTCTCATCCCTACTATTTGATCTCAGTTCCCTTGGCTATGCTCATACATCTTGTTGAGGACTATTCTAGACATCAGGCGCTGAAACGATCTAAGATCAAAATAACCCCAATGTGACCCCACTTTTATCAGTGTGACCCCAAGATTATTTTAATCCAGATCATTTCATCTGTTCAGTTACACAATGCTATCCTGCAAACACTTGTGTTGGTGCAACTGCAAACATGATGTACTGTAATGCAGGGGTAGAACTAAGCAATGAGATGCAGGACCTTCTTAAACTTGCTTTGCCAACATAACCAATATATCTTTTGTATATGCTTTGCTCAGAGACTCTGTATAGTATTTTAATATTTCTCAGTCCACTCTCTTTACCAGTAAAAGATAAAAATGTTAATAAACTTACTTGGCATATATGAGAAGTGACTGGAAGCTATTTTGCCTAAATGAGAAAAAATTAAGCCCTGTTACTTGTGTTCACTCTCAACACCACCACATCTCTCTTCCCTTCATTAGATATTTTTCTCTAGATGCTGAATTACATCAGTTTCTATCTCTATTCCATGCCTCAAATACTATTTCTGATAAGCTTGCATTTCTTCATTATCCAGGCTGTAGAAAAAGCAGAGCAATTAATATATATATTCTGAAACCCATTAAATCATAGTCTTACAAATTTTACTGGAAAGTTATAAATTTCACGTAAGTTTTAAAAGCAGCTACTCAAATATTAATTCAGTTTTCAGTAACACTCACTTTGAAGAATTTGCAAACAAGGACTGTTTATGTTCACAGTTTGAGTACCACAAGTGTAAGTCTTGTAACTCATTTATGCAATATAATACTGTGTTATCTAGCAAGGCAGTTTCTGTTGACATCAATCATGAGTTGTGACTTTGTTATGCACTTAAGCAGAGTTGAGCCATTTTTTAGTGTATGTGTGTACACTAAAGTCTGGAGAACATCTATGTATGGTAGTGCTAACATGAATAATATTAATATTTGATGCCACAGGTTTTATCATAGACTAGCAAACGTAACTTGGTGGACTCCAGGTTGAACATGAGCCAGCAATGGGCCCTTACTGCAAAGGCGACCAACAGTATCCTGGGCTGCATCAGGCAAAGCACTGGCAGCAGGTGGAGGGAGGTGATCCTTCCCTCCTACTCATCACTGGTGAGGCCATACCTGGAGTGCTGGGTCCAGTTCTGGGCTCCCCAGCACAAGAGAGAGATGGACATATTAGAGAGAAGGACCTAGAGTCTCTCTTCTATAAGGAAAATGTGAGAGAGCTGGGACTGTTCGGCCTGGGGAAGAGAAGGCTCAGGGGGGATTTCATCAATGTCTATAAATATCTGAAGAGAGGGTGCAAAGAGAATGGAACCAGGCTCTTTTCATTGGTGCCCAGTGACAGGACCAGAGGCGATGGGCACAAACTAAAACGCAGGAGGTTCCCTCTGAGCATCAGAAGTCAGTTTTTTACTGTGGGGTTGACTGAGCACTGGCACAGGTTGCCCAGGAGTCTCCATCCTTGGAGATATTCCAAAGCTGGTCCTGGGCCACCAGCTCCAGGCTACCCTGCCTGAGCAGGGGAGGGGTGGACCAGGTGACCTCCAGAGGTCCCTTCCCACCTCAAACTTTCTGTGATAATACAGCTCATCTGGAAACCTAAAAGATGTCTGGCTACTAGCCCATACTGAAACATCTGCCATTTTTGATTTTAGTTATCCATGAAATCTGAGGTAAAGCTAACACAGGTATGTCTGCTTATGTGAAAATGTGCGGTCTTTTGCCATACAGACACTTTATCATTTGAATATAGTATATAGTAGCCTTTACAGTGAGGACCTCAGTATATAAAAGAATATGCACATACCTACAAGAAACACACAGCAGCTAAGAAGGCAGTGAATATGCGCTAACTGAGCCTTGTTATGCCTAAAACCAGAGTAATTCATTACTTTGTCATGATACATTAATACTGGCATGGCAGTAAGTTCCTTGAAGAATACCATTTTCTGATCTATGTAAGGATGTCTTGAATAATGCTCAACATCACTGGGTATGGATGTATTATAAATCTAAGTTCCTTGAAGAATACCATTTTCTGATTTATGTACGGATGTCTTGAATAATGCTCAGCATCACTGGGTATGGATGTATTATAAATGTGTACAAATAACTGACTTTTGACTAAATGGTTATGTGTTAGTCAATGGTTCAAATTAGTGTTTTTTCCAAATGCCAGTGATTGCCTTCATGGCAGTATAAATTATTTGTTTCATTTTCTGGCTTTACAGTAGAGTAAACACAGATAACAACATTCTCCTGGGATGAAGGTAACCCATCCCAGGTTAACCTTTCCTCTTTGCCTGAAGCACAATAGTGACTTTAAGGCTCCCACATCATCACAGAATGCCTTAATCTCCAGCAAGGAAGTATTCTGAAGGGTATTGCTTTGGATTTCTTCTTCTGACACTTTTCTGTAAATATTTCTTTAAGGACAGGTTTGAACCTGAATGTTCTCTGCAGTTGAATGTGTTCCCTATCAAGCAGCAGTGTCACATTCATCACTGATCAAAAGGACGTTCAAGCAATTCACACAAGTGGATTAGCTTCAACACAGAGATTGATAGAAATTATGATGGAAAAGGTGGTGGAAATGGGTGTTTGGTGTATGCCAGGAAAGGGCCGTTAGCATTTCACTATGAGCAAAAAGATGGAGTAAATAGAAAAAGTAGGGAAACATTATTGTTCCCACAGTTTTGAAGTTGTGGATTAATGATTCGGGATCCCCACATCAAAACAGTTTGTTTTGGGTAGCTCAAACAAATCACATTTCTAACTCAATTTATTCAGTTTTCATCACCCAACACAGTAAGCTGAATTCTACTTAAATTTTCTCATAGACTGGGATTCAATTTCCAAAAAGTTCTCTCAGTGATCCTACAGCCGACCTTTATAATCAATGAGATCTAATCAATACAGTCAGTGGAGCTATGAAATGGTTTTAGTGCTACCTGGCTCGATTCAGTTGGCTAGACATAAGTGACTAGTGCTGTTTGAGTTGCCCAGCGTTTCTTCCCTCACCTCCAGCTGCTGTTCCAAAAATACCTCCCACAGATCTGTACAGATATCTTGAAATACTGACGGAAGTTCTCATCTTTTGTTTCTAGCCAGAATAAACTGGGATCCGTCTGATCCTCAGATCATATCTGAAGGCCTGTATGCAATTGCGGTAGTATTAAGTTTCTCCAGAATAGCCTACATCTTACCAGCTAATGAAAGCTTTGGACCACTGCAGATATCACTTGGCAGAACTGTGAAAGACATCTTCAAGTTCATGGTGATATTTATCATGGTGTTTGTGGCTTTCATGATAGGCATGTTTAATCTCTATTCCTACTATCTGGGAGCAAAACAAAATGAAGCATTCACTACGTAAGTACAACTGATTAAACTATAACGATTATGGGCTATTTTAATGGAAAGACGGTTGCTTGCATTGTATGTATTAAGTTTACTAATTGTTTTATAAGATTTACATCTCTTCATCTTGGATTAAGTAGTAATTTCCTCTCTTGTGCTGGTGCTTAAAGGATGTATTTGAAATCAGATGAGCTCTTGATCCCAACAATACCATGATAAATCAGGAAAGACAGGCTGGGAAGGTGAGATGTAGTTGAGAGAAGAAAAAATATTCCCTTTGTTGGTTTTTTTTTGATTATTTCCTTGGCTGTTCTTTTTTTCATCTCCCACCATAAGAACAGAAATTCTGAATGTACTCTGTCTATCAGGAGTTATTTGGTATACGTTTGTCAGGCCTTTCATTTCTAGCTGTGATTTCAAGATAAGTCACTTCAGTGGAAACTCATTCTTTTCCAAGCTCTGCAGCCCTTTCCCACTTAATTTCTGGCTATCATGATATTCAGGCTATAGCTGTTATGAAGTATACTCAGCCAGGAAGCAAAATTGGCCAAGAAGAAAAAAATATATTACTACTTTTTTAGTATTATTAGTTCAAACAATAGATAAAGTACCTAAAACTACAACTCACAGATGGAACACTGATAAAATATTATAAGCAGAGAAGCAAATTCACAAGTAAAACTTACAAGTTTCTTTTAACTTTTTTTTCTTAACAATAATGCCATAAAATCCAAAATGTGCTTTGCAATGCTGTTGCATTTTTGGACATGGGGAACTCAGATCTCTTCATCAAAGCAAGAGAAAATATGTCTTCAAACAGGTGGAGATAGATAGGAAAAGATAGTTCAGAGGTTTGGACTTATGTTTATGTGTGTATATATATAAACTGATGAAAAGTAAATGCATGTATTTAAATGAACTAACCTGGAAAAAAAAAAAAAAATCATATCCCCACACCATGGCTGCTTGCCTTTACCCTGGATTTGTGGAATAGTGAAAACTCAACTGGAGGATTATGATCTGTGAGACTCATTTTTTGAAAAATGTTGATTTGCAGTCAGACATCCTGTCTTCTTCACAGTTTAAGATTGTTAGTCATATTAATAGTGAAATGATTCACACTAAGTGAACTAATGGTGCAATTAAAATAAAGTATTTTCAGGTTAATTACTTCTGTTACTTACATTCACATTACTAGCAAGCATGTAGCATGTAGATTAAAGTAGTTAACAAGTGAATCATTGTAGTATTGTTTTGAGGGTTCATATGTAATTCCTAAACTGAATCAGATGGTTTTATTGTCAGTCCTAAATATTACGAACCTTATGTTATGAAATAGCCTGTACCTATGAAATTACATAGTCTACTTGTTCTGCATAATATCACTATGGTAGAATTCTACATTATGATGATGGAACAACTTGTACACTGTATAAAAATGGTAATTGGCAATTTATATAATAGGAATGTACAGCTTTTCTTCAGTAACATATGCATGTATTCAATTTCTTCTTTTAGTGTTGAAGAAAGTTTCAAGACATTGTTCTGGGCTATATTTGGACTCTCAGAAGTTAAATCAGTTGTCATCAATTATAAACACAAGTTTATTGAAAATATTGGTTATGTCCTTTATGGAGTCTATAATGTTACCATGGTGATTGTCTTACTGAACATGCTTATCGCAATGATCAACAGTTCATTCCAGGAAATTGAGGTAAAAATTCCATTTATGATGAAATATCACCACTTTTACTGTTATAGCTAATTGTCTAAATCTCCTGGAAAATTTTCTTGTTGACATCTTATTTAAGAAATATAACACATAGGCTTTTGGAATATATTAGGAGAAAATATTAATTCCATTGTACATTTTTAATATAAAATACCTGGAAATTACCCAGCTGCATGTGCTTGCAATAGTAAGAACTAGACTGGACTAAGAAACTGCTGTTGAACTGTGTTATGTCCCTGAAGAGGATGGGCTACATTGTGTGACTTTGTAAATCTTTCATTTGCCTCATTTGTAGTTATTATTTGAGTAGTGTCCCTCTTGCTGCAAGGATATTCTTGTTCCTATGCCTTGACCTTGCAAGCAAGTCTATAACATCCTGTTTTCTTCTTTTGTTTAAACAACCGTTGCTCTCTAGTCCTCTGCAGTGAACAAAGCTTTACTTGACAACGTAATCAGCAGGGCTACTGAACATCAGCATGAACTTTTGCATGCCATGGAAAACAAGGGCCTAATCATTATCATTGTTTATAAAAAAAGGAAGCAGATCTCCAGGAGCTAGGCAATCCCAGCCTTTCCCAGGTGACTTCCTTACCACAAAGCGGCAGACTTAGGTTTGGCACTGCTCTGGTCCCACGTTCTGGGCACTGGTTTGGGGCTGTAGCATTGTCCAGCTTGAACAAGAGCAACACACATTCTCTAGGGAGGTTCAGATTCTTCTGACTCGGGATGCCACAGAACAAACTACCAGGTTCAGAGCAATAAAAAAAACAGGCTGTTATCTAAAAATACAGTGACTGGATACAAACAGCTTCTAAAAAGAGCTACAGCAATATTGAGTCATGTCCTTGAACCTGACGTCAGTCCTTTCTGCAGAAAACCTTCTTGAACTTTACAGGGAGGAATAAAGTGAGTGTTTTGGCTATCATAAATGTTAAACATAAACCATGGTGATGATAGCATACCTGATTTAATCATATATTCCAGCAAGTGGAAAGAATTAGGTAAGAATCACCTAATCTTTTCTAATGTCATGTTTAAAGTAATAGAGTAAAATTTTAATTTAAAATTCTGATACGGTGTCTTCTTCACAAAAAAAGATGATAGGCTAATTGCTACAGAAGAGACCAATAAGATAAGAAATCAGAGCTGGTAGTCTCATTGAGAGATTTAAATTTTTGTTATGTTAACGTAGGATATTTCCATTTTATTTTACCAAGCATGACAGTGTTCCAAGTAAGTGCCTACTTAGTCAAGCCCTGTCAGATGAATTTGAGTATTGCCATGAAGCTTTAACTTGGGCATTGTATTATGTGCTTTTAAGTCAGAGCTTTCCTTCTTATCAGTGTGTTTACAAAGGGCAAAAAACAAAGAGGTCTATCTTTGTGATCCTATATTGCAGACTATTGGCACTCAGTCTGGAGTAACCAGTGTTTAAATCAAATCCACTTTGTTCTTCAGTAATTGCATTATTTTAAATGGATTAATAAGAACAGTTCCATTCATTGAAATTTGGTTTTCACAGGCTATAAACAAGTTCTTCATCTGTTTGAGATTAACTTCAGCCAATTACATTCAAAACACACGTGAAGTTTAGGTAGAGCACCTTCAATAGGCAAGGTGATATTAACGGTGTATTAACAGCCATGTTTCTGTTTTACAGGATGATGCTGATGTAGAATGGAAATTTGCAAGGGCTAAACTTTGGTTTTCTTACTTTGAAGAAGGGAGAACTCTTCCAGTACCCTTCAACTTAGTGCCAAGCCCAAAATCTTTGCTGTATCTCCTTCTCAGAATCAAAAGATGTATTTCTAAACCATTTCTGTGCCAAAAGAAGAGCTTTCAGGAAGATGCAGAGATGAACAAGGTAATTTTTTAATGTGTATCTTGACTGCTGATTTTAAAAGATAAAACCAATTTTAACTTCATTTTTGTTGTTGACCTGTTTTTCTCATGAATTTCCCAACATACTTAGTCTGTACTGAGGTCAGTCACTATACACAGGATGAAATTCTTACTTTGTTTTTTAATATAAATATTTGTCTACATCTGTAATCAGTTATGTCCAAAAATGCCATTGTAAATTTGCAGTCCTTCCTGCTTCTTGTCACATAATCAGAGAATAATTCAGGCTGGGAGGGACTTCAGGAGGTCTCTGGTTCAACCTCCTGCTCACAGCAGGGTCAACTCTGAGGTCAGGCCAGATTTGCTGAGGGCTTGATCCAGTCAGGTCTCAAAAACCTCCAAGGATGGAGACTGCACAATGTCTCTGGGCAGCATGTGCCACCACCTGACTGTCCCTCATGGGGAAAAAGTTGCTCCTTCTACCTCTTGTTAGAGTTTGTCCATTGTCTCTCATCCTCCTGTCCTGCAGCACTGTGAAGAGACCAGCTCCATCTCTTCAATGACCTCCCTGTATGCACTAGGGGCTGCTGTTAGGTGATGTCTGAAGCCATCTCTCCTTCAGGCTGAACAAGCCCAGATTCCCTAGTGTCTCTTCAAAGGGCGAGTGTGCCATCCCCAAATATTTTGGTCACCCTCTGCTGAACTTGCTGCAGTTTTCTGACATCTTTCTCGCTGTCCCCCAAATCCCCCAGGTCCTTTTCTGCAGAACTGCTCCCCAGCCAGCCAGTCCCCAGCCTGTGTTGCTGAAAGAGTTATTCCTTCCCATTTGTCCTTACTGAAATTCACAGGGTTCCTGTCATCCCTGTCCTTCTGGATGGCATCCCTGCCCTCAAGCCTATCAGCTGCTTCACCCCCCCAAATTTGGCTTTGTCTGCAAACTTGACAGGAGTGTGCTCCAACACCTCCTCTGACACCAGATCTTTGATAAAGATGTTTAAAAGGGCAAGTCCCAGGACAAGACCCCTATACTACCTTCTAAACACAACCACCCAGTCAGGATTTTGCCTGTCTAGTTGTCCACCCATTCAGACAGCAACATCCTAATGTGGGTACAAGAATATTCTAGGATATGGTGTTAAAACCCTTGCTAAAGTCAAGGTAGATGACATCTCCAGCTCTCCCCTCATCTGCAAATCCAGTCATTTTATCTCAGAAGGCCATCCAGATGGTCAGACAGGTTTTACTTTTTATAAATCCAAACTTAGGTTTTCTCAGTCACCATCTGCTCTTCCACGTGCCCAGAAATGTACTCCAAGAAGACTCAATCCATTATTTTGCCAGTTACCAAAGGGAGGTTGAGTGGTCTGTGGTTCCCAGATCATCATTTCAACCTTTTTCGAAGATGGGTTTGACATTTGTCTTTCTCTGGCCTTTAGGGGCCTCTCCCAATCTCCGTGATCTTTCAGAGATGATACCGTATTTGCAAGGACTTCGTCTGCTCTCTCAGCACCCATGGATGCAGCCCACTGGGTACAATGGACTTGCCTGGGTCAAGTTCTCTCAAGTAACCCCAGACTTGACCCTCCTCCACAGTTCTGGTTCTCCTCAAATCCCTTCACTAAGCACAGAGACCTGAGACTGTTGGTGAAGCCTGAGGCAAAGGCGGCATCAAGTCCCTCAGCCTTACCCGAGTCCGCCGTCACTGAATCCCCTGCCCCACAGAGCAACAGACCCACATTTTCCTTGTTGAGCCTTATACTGCTATTGTAGCAGGAGAAGCTCTTCTTACTGCCCTTGCAAATGTCGACTTAAGGTGAGCTTTGTCTTTCCTAGCACCACCCTCATGTGCCTGGGCAGAGTTTCTGAATTTTCCTTTTTTAGCCTGTCTCTGCTTCCACTGAGAATGCAACCTGCTTTTATTGTACAGCATTCTGTTATCTGTTTTATTTACACAAAAGCAGTAAAAAGCACTTGGGTTGATTCATTGCTGTATCTCATGGGCTTATTTAAAGTTTGTAGTCAGTCTGTTTTTCCTGCAGTGTCTTGGTATAAATAAATTAATTGCTTTAGGTGAACATGGGGCATAGCACATGGCGTTAGGTTGTATTGGAAGTGTAAAGACTAGCACTATTGTGACACGTTAGGGAAGAAGAGCTTTGCAAGGCAACTGATCAGACTTAGTGAGTAGAAAGGTGAGCATATGGTAACATTCACACAAGAAAAGAAATTACAGGTTTGTCATGGTGGCAGAAACAAATGTGTCATTTGTGGAAATTTTAATGTGGAAGGATCATTGTGAAAATCGGCAGCAGCCTAGGCAGAGGCCTGTTCAAGGTTAGGAGTTCTTGAGTCTTTAGTCAAGAGTCATTAGTCGTTAGACTGGGGGCCAGTAAGGAATTTCCATACATCTGTCAGCTCTCTGTCACCAATGTGACAAGCACTTTTTCCATCACAGTTGCCAGTTGAAGAGTAAAAGAGAAAAGAAACCGGTTGCAATCCTAGAAGGAAAAAATGGAGCTATAGGGAAAAATACTGTACCTCTGGCAAGCCTCTGCCTCTGGTTAAGTTCATAATAGTCTATAAAACCAAACACAGATATTACAGACACTGTCACCAAAGTCAAAATTGTTATTAACTTCCAATGTCTCGTGTGGTACCAGTAATTTTTCTAGCATTTTACAAATCTCACTTCATTTTATTTGAGAAATCTAATCCTAATGTATTTAAGACCCAACAAAGGTGATACTGCCTTTGCTCAAGTTTTTAATGTCTCCAACATTTGCAAAGCTTTTCATCAAGCTGCTTGATGCAAATCAATCTCACAACTTCCATGAGTGATTAAGTCATCACTGCAAAATCATGACTTTAAGGAGATGCATATAAACTTCAAATTGAGCAATGGTGAGAAACATCAAATCAAGGTTGTTTTTTTTCTAATTCACTTACTTTGTGACTTTGAAAGCACGTAAGTAAGTTAGAAGCTTATTTTTAATGAGTTTTTAAAAGGAAATTTATGTTCCCATAAAACAGGTACTCTTAAAAATCCCATTCTTACACTCTAAGGAAAGAAGTTGGGGTTTTATCATTCCTTTCCAAAATTGTATTCAAACCTAGCAATTCAAATGTCTAGAAAGGTGCAAAGTGTAATAATCACCAATTCTAGATAAAACGATAACAGCTGTGTCTCCTTTTACAGCAGTCCCTTTGAAAGAGAGCTGTAAGGATGCAACCATCGTTTATCAGATTTTTTCCTAGCCCTGAATTAATTTTTAGTCTTCAAATATTAATGCTTTCCACTCACTGCAGATTGTAGTAGAACTAAGGGTAAATGAAATGTGCTTACTCCCCAGCCAAAGAAGCTCTAAAACTGCAAATCAAATTAAAAAAAAAAAAAAAGATTTTACATTGGAAAACATAAAGCAACTGGGTCGTATCTATTCATTCCTCAGCTTTTCCAGCAGGGTGACTGATATTGCCAGATGAGGACATTTTTACTTATCTCTTGGACCGCCACATACTGTGGAGCTGACTTTATCTGAATCTATCAGATGCTGCCATCCTTCACACTTCTAAAAAGTAACTAAAATGTTTTTGGGTCACATTTTGACCTACTGTTGATGATTCATTATTGTTGAGGCTGTTTTGTGGCATCTTCTCAAAGGCATTCTCAGGCTTTTTGAGTTTTGACTTTGGACTCATTCTGTGCCGAGTCGGTTGGTGCTGCTGTGACTGCTGAGCAAGGAGCTACTATAAAAGCAACAAGCTGTGCAAAGATAAGAAAAGATTTGGCAAGACCAGCCGAAGACTTGGTGGCTGTGCCTGTGCTAGTGAATTAAATGTGACAAGGAGCTTATCTGGGCGCTGAGGCCAGTTCAGGAATGGCTTGCCCATGTTCAAGTAGTTTTCCTCCCAAAGTAGGGTTGCTGCAGGCTGTTGTCGCCAGACCATTCCAGTTGCCAAACTGTGCCGAGGGAGAGAGACAGTTGCTCTGGTGCAAGTCCTACATGGGAGGACGCTAAAAGTTTACTGATAGAAGACATTGCATTGCAGTACCTAGAAATGTTAACACATGCTTGAGTTTACTGATTCAGACCCAGCCTGTGGGTCTTTCTCCTGCAGAGCCTGCATCTTCTCAGTGCAAAAGCAGCAGCAGCACCAGGGTGAGTGTAAAGACAAGAATTAGGATGGGAAGGGGGGAAAATTCTGCCTCTAGACCCAGCTCTGCCCTGATTACCGTTGGCAGAAAACAAAGCAAGATGCCATCAGTGCTAAACGACGAGTGATTTACATAGCTGTGTTCAAAGTGCACCACACCAGAAACTGATTTATTGAGACATATGTGCATTTAATAATAAAGGCTGTGAAGATGTTTTCTTTCAGGCTGTTGATTAAAACCCACAGCTTGCTTCTGTTTCAGGCTAGAATTGGTATTTTAACCATCAAGTAAACAAGAAACTCAAACCAAAAAGGGGGAGAAATAAATGAAGGAAAAGGAGAGTTTTAAAGAAACCTACTTTGAGTTTTATTCTAAGTTGAAAAATTGCCTTGTGAATGAGAAAGTTTATGGTTTAAGAGTCGCAGAACTTGTTCATCTTCCTGAGCTAAAAAACAGTAGTGGCAGATGATGTATTTAAGCCTTTTTCTTAAAACATGGCCCTTCAGAATAGAAATAAGGAACAATTAGTTGTTACAATACCTTTAAACCCTCACTCAATTAAAAAAAAAGTTAATTTTTACTTTCCTAGTATAAAACAGTGTTTCTGAAATTTTCACAAGTGACTTCTGGTTATGGGAGTGCAAACTGAGTCATTTTCTGGGAACCCTCCCTTCTGGTCCAAGCACATACAATTTACTGGCATTCCAAGTCATCAGCTGCTTCTGAAAACTGAGATTTAAGATGTTAACAAAGCGCTACACAAAACAACTACAGTAATTACTTTACTATTCTAATTGCAATGAATTTTAAGTAATACTAGAGAACAATGAAATGAGAAGCACGTTTAAAGAAGAAGGTATTTTCTAAGAGCAGTGATTCATGTATGCCGCATTTCTGCTTTCACACAACACTCCTGGAGGAGAGTTATTTTTGTTAGGGTTTAATATCATTGTTTTATTTAAATTACATTTTTTCCCCTCCGGTTACTCATGTGTGGATGTTCAATAGACACTAACTTAAAAATATGAATTCCTGTTCAGTCACTAACGTGACAAGCTGAGTTTACTCTAGTAGTAATTTTTGCGAGAGGAAAAAGCCACAGGTGTGAAGCTTAAAGAGAGTTTAAAAATTTTGTGTAAAAATGAAGTTACAATGAAATCTTGGCAATCTCTGCCACCAAGTGGTCATTCAGCAACCTACAAGAGATGTTCTGTCCCGTTGCTGTTACACATAAACAGATTTAATGATTTACTTCTGATTTACTTCTGATTTACCTGCCAACTTTGAAGGTGTATTCTGTAGCTAATTAGAATTACGTTATTCTGTTCAAAAAATGCAGAGTGCTCAAAGGTCAAAGTTAAGATAAAGATGTTTCAATGTGTCGGGTTTTACAAGTTTGCAGTGTCTCTCTTAATTCATTTCACCACATATTACCAATTCTGCTGTTTCAAGTGAAAATCAAGTTTTAGTTAAGCATTGGATTAAGTCTTGAAGTGAACCAAGATAACATAAATGTGAAAGTGCTAACTGGCATGACAGGTGACATTTAAAATACGTAATAAATATTTAAAAAGAGATCATAAATTTAAATGTATTTGTAGGTGATACGTAAACTGGTAAGGATTATGAATGATATCACAGCTGCAGAAAAAGTCAGAGATCCCAAAGGGCTGGGGCAGCAGCCACACAGCTGGAGCCCAAGCTCATGCCCTGGAGCAACTTTGGCCAAGGCGACTTTCCTCTGCCACTCCAGAGGAAGCATGCTCTTCCTCTTATTCTACTACATTATTTCCAAAAATTGTGCAGTAGGAAACCAGGAACTGAAAAAGCAGGAGGATTGTTTTTCTCTTTTAATCTAGTAGTAAAAATGTGGCCCAAGAGAGTATTATTAGTTCTAAAGTCCTGAACCATTACACAGTCGTGTAAACTCACTATTTTTTACTATAAATCAGATGATACATAGTTTAAGTTTAAAGGTTTTGATAAACTGATGTTTTCTAATATATATATTTTTAAGGTAGCTTTATTCAAGCAAAAAAAGCAACAATAACTTGTCCTTTTTGTACATCTTTAATTCAATTTCCATCCAAGTTCAGGTTAATATTTTAGAGATAACTATTAATTATTTATATGTCTATATATTACTATATATCTTCTAGCATTTTTGCTTAGTCAGATAAACATAGTCTGAATAGATATATGTTTTTTAAAGTAAGTGTATATAGATATTGTGAATCTTTCTAAAGAACAAAAAGAAATTCCAGATTCAGTGTAAACTTTATATTAATTGCAAATTAATAAATTTTACCAGTAAGTGTAACCTTTTCTTCAGGAAAAAATAACGAAGTGCAAACATGATCTAGTGAAAGATGTCCCTGCCCATGGCAGGGGGGTTGGACTACATGGTCTTTAAAGATCCCTTCCAACACAAACCATTCTATGATTCTATTAAATGCTAAATAAAAATCTAAAAATATTTAAATTATTCCCTGTTTGCAGATTCATGAAGACTTGTTTGCTTTACTGTTAAAGTCAATATAAAGTTATTTGGAATTCTAGCAAACTAGAATACTCTTAAGGAGCAAGCTTTGCAGCAGCTGGGAGAATTGAGAATTTTAATTGATGTCCTCATTGCTGGTTAAACAACTGACTCTGATACCTCATTCAGCCTTTTTTATAGCTATACAATTCCCAAGGTTTTTATTTTAATCTTTGTGTTAGTACGTGTATGTTAGAATGAACCCCCAGTAAAGCTGTCTGCTGAGATGTTTTTACCTTTTTTTTTTTTAATTGATATCTGGTGAATATTTATCACATATTCCTTATTCCTACTTCCATTTATTATCAAAGTTCAACCATGGGAAGTTCCTGTTATACCTCAAGAGGTTATAATGATTTCAGTTGCAGGAGAAATGGCTACATGAAAGCTTTAGCCTTCATTAACATCAAGCATTGTATTATGGGCTCCCTTGATGTGTGACATGCCTGTACAGCTGCATAAGCATCTAACCCTCCCCTGCTTTCCTCCCCACCGAACTATATTCCAGTGTATCTCACATATTACTTAGCAGGCTTCAGAGTGCCTCAGTTTGCTTATCTATAGGTGCTCGATGTGTTAAGGCACAGAGATAACCAACACGGAGAACCTCACTGGAAGTACAACACAATCCCACAGGATCTCAGACACTGCAATGATAGCCCCATGCTTTAAAACAATAAAAATTTTACTGGACCACGTATAATTACAGAGAACTGATTTTTCAGTGACAGTCCCACTTATTCCTCATCCAGATCAACCATAATTTTTATTTCACTGTTGTGGGTGTTTTTTTGTGTTTTTTTTTTTTTTTTTAATTTCTTGCACTACACTCATTGAACTGGCCCTATTATCAATCTAAAGTAGTATCATTCATTTTGTTTTGACAGGTGCTATTCACTCTTATTGCAGCTTAGTCATTCATCTTCAGTCTCAGGTCACCATTTTGTGATGCTTTAGTCCTTCTCAAAGATATAAATCAGTAACGAAGCCTGCGAGTTGCATCCTCGGTGTTTCATCAGGGAGTGATGCTCTTTCCTTTCAGCACATGTAGTAACAAAGACGCCACTCAAAAATGTCAGCTGATAATTTTGTGGTCCCTGGCAGGAACCACATAACTGATTACATTTAGCCATTAGCGCGAGTGAGGAGAGAAGCAAACTCCTCATGTATTTTGTGGTAGCGGAGGGCACATTAGTTACGGGCAAGTGCTATGAAAGAAAGGAAAGGGGTAATCCTGCCACCTCTCCATCTTCCCTGGCTTCTCCCCCATCCTGTCCTGACTCCCTCATCCATTGCGGACAAAGCTGTGCCGCAGCAGTGCTGCCTTCCTCCTGAGACATAGATCCCCCTCTTGTGAACCTGAGGAGCGAGGGAAGGCCTGCGGGGAGGTGGCTACTCTGCTCTGGTCCCTTGGGCATGTTAAGGGCAGGTGAGAAGCAGAGTAAAGGGAGAAAACCTCCCAGTTCTCCCTTTCCTGCATCACAGTCTGAAAGGGTTTGTTTCAACTCTTGTGATGAAATTCTGCACAGGTATGAGGATTTTACCACAGTAATTTAATTACTCCCCAAATTGAGCTTAACAATTAATGTTCTGTCATACAATATATGCGTGAGGTAATTTAACCATATTGTTCTTCTATTTATTTTATACTATAAATAATGTTTCCATTTCAGCTTGGTCAAAGAAAGCAATCAAGTATAAGAAGCTCAGATGAAATCCACTTAAACAGTTTAAACAATCCTCCAAGGCAATACCAGGTAAAAACCAGTTTATTTATAAACAAAATCAAGAAGTAGTAGAACTGGCAGCATGAGGACAGTTTTGAATTTGTGTTAAACAACATGAATCAAGAATAAATCCAGAGACATTGTATATATCAGAAATAAGTTCAATGACTTAGGTCAGTATTTGCAGTACAATCTGAGGGTGTTTTTCTCTCTTTGTTTCTTAAGTGCTACCCTTGTAGTGTAATATTTTAAAGCACTTGAAAAATGTTTTTAATTTTAGGGACGGGTTGAGTGCTCAGCTGCACAGTACAAATTAAGAAAACCAAAAAGAAACCCAGAATCTTCCTGTTCCATCTGCTGAAGCAGCCCAGCTTATTGTGCCACACCTCTATATACTAATACCTCAAGCACTGCAAATACCTTTCAGCCCTTATGCTATCAATACAGTCTGTTTATTCTTTGCCTCCTAAACAACTGCAGCGAGCCTTTGTGCAGTTAAGTATAAAGAGACCCAGCACAGTCCACATAAAGCTCAGCTGTTCTGGTCCAGAGGCTACTCCTTTCCTTCCTATAATACTACAAAGCAGGTGGAAAAGAAGAAGCAAGAGCTGCCTGGGCAATAGAACAAGACCATCTGAATGCAAAAGGGTATAGAAAACAAGTATACCTTTTTTGACCATGAGACAAAAAAAATTTTTGTCCTTGGGCAGGCTAGCTGTGCTCCACTCTTACGTTACACAGTGTCTGCACAAGTCTATTCCAAAAACTCCCTGACTTTTTCCCAGCCAATTTCATTATGATGCAGTGATAGCTATTAAGATTACAGATTTATCCCATAAGAGTGAGGATGTGTGGCTTGGTATTTGAAACATTCTCAGATTATTAGAATAAACAGTACAGCTGCTGACCTTGCAAGCAAGACTGCAGCACTGGTCTGGAACCACTAATCTGGGATGATTCATCTCACAACCACCTCTGGTCAGGTCTATTACTGCAGGGACAAAAGCAGACACATAAACCTACGTGTATTTTATATCTGTAGTGAAAAAGAAAAAATATTTTGTTGTCATGGGTTGCACCATATGAAAATATTAAAGCCAGAGATAGATTCTCAAAGGTAATTAGATACCTTGTTCTTATTTAAGTAATTGGAACTAATGGGAGAATCAGGGGAGGAATTAATTTTTCCTGGAAAGGTAAAATTTACATCTAAATTTGCTAGCCTAGGTTCCCCTTATTATTAGAAAAGAGGGTAGTCATTCTAATGGTGTGATTTATTTGGTCAATTTTAGTTGTCTGAGATAAACTGTGCTCTCAGATTTGCTTTTTCTATCCATAGAGGGAATTAAAGGTGACTGCCATAGATATCTATATTTACATTAGAAAATATCTGTATTTGGTTAGATGAGTCCCAACTGAGGTGCTTAAATGACTCTTAGAATTCTGGGTCACATTTTCTCTAAGCCTTACACTGGGAAAAGATAATTTATCAAATATAGTACAAAAATAGATTAAAATAAACTGATGGCCAAAGGGTTAAGCAATTAGCACTGCTAATCAGGGTTATTATCATCTTCTGGTAGCAATAAGGGCTATATGGTTTCACCTCCATGGAGATCAAAGCTGCAGCTGTATTAATCATTCTCATAGACTCCAGTAGTAGATTAAGCTTCATGAATCATAACATTCATAAGATGCATTTAGTTTACTAACATTAATGTACATATATGTGCAGAATCATAAATTTTAAATATCTACTGTAGATGCAAGTAGAGATTTTTACATTATATTCCTTTAACCTGGCAAGTCCTACACTGAAACGTCTGAATGCAACAGAAGGTAACAGTGCTCATATTTTGAAATGTACTAGAAAGTCCAACTAAGAAAACTCTTTTTTACTTTCTTTCTTCTCTGCAGAAAATAATGAAGCGTCTCATTAAAAGATATGTACTGAAAGCTCAAATAGATAAGGAAAGTGATGAAGTCAATGAAGGTAAGTATCTTGATGAATTGTATGTTTATCTCTAATCTGAGAATCAAAACAAACTAATTAAAGTAGTTACATATGCCACTTGAAAAAAATGTTTCCAAAATACTTAATCCACTTGATATGTTTACAAGTACAAGATGTAAAATTAACAAATTGAAGTTAAAGAAGAGATGTGGCTTTCTGTCTCTGCTGTCCCATCAGAAATTATCACTGATCTGATGACTTCTTGTGAAAAGCATTTTTACTTACAGTAACGCCCATGCATTTCCCATGGTGAGGCTGCATTTAATGCAGCAGCTGGTTTGGGGCACTCCCCTATGAATTCTCCATTGTGTGCATATGTATTCTTGCTGTGTATTCATATATGGGGATACACGTTTCAGCCTTTTTTTGTTGTGATTAGCTGGAAACAGCTAGTGACTGCACTTCACAGAAATGTTCTCATCTATTTGCACCCCTCTGATGCTGGAAAAACACTTAGCGCAGCAGAGAAAGGAGAGGACCCCTCTGTCTTGAACAGTGAGAGGCTTTGTTGCTGGCCAGGAGGACTCAGGCACCATCGATTTGCACGATCTGCAGAAAAGGATCTGGGGGTGTTGGTCGACAGCCGGCTGAATGTGAGCCAGCAGTGTGCCCAGGTGACCAAGAAGGCCAACAGCATCCTGGCCTGTATCAGAAATAGTGTGGCCAGCAGGACCAGGGCAGTGATCGTCCCCCTGTACTCAGCACTGGTGAGGCCGCACCTCGAGTGCTGTGTTCAGTTTTGGGCCCCTCACCTTAAGAAAGACCTTGAGTTGCTGGAGCGTGTCCAGAGAAGGGCAGCAAAGGTGGTGAAGGGTCTGGAGCACAAGTCTGATGGGGAGCGGCTGAGGGAGCTGGGGTTGTTTAGCCTGGAGAGAGACCTGATCGCCCTCTACAACGACCTGAAAGGAGGTTGTAGCCAGGTGGGGGTTGGTCTCTTCTCCCAGGTAACAAGTGAGAGAACAAGAGGAAATGGCCTCAAGTTGCGCCAGGGGAGGTTTAGATTGGATATTAAGAAGACTTTCTTCACTGAAAGGGTTTTCAAGCACTGGAACAGGCTGCCCAGGGAAGTGGTTGAGTCACCATCGCTGGAGGTATTAAAAAATTGTGCAGATGTGGTGCTTAGGGACATGGTTTAGTGGTGGACTTGGCAGTGCTACGTTAACAGTTGGACTCGATGATCTTAAATGTCTTTTCCATCTTAAACAATTATATGGTTTTATGATCTCTCTTGCGGCAGAACAGCAGCTTCCATCTAAAGCATAATTTGAGTTTTGTGAACTGATGTCGTCTCTCACACTTTTGCCTTCAGATTTGTTTGATTCCTGAACTGCATCTTCATATTCCTATCCCTAAGCCACCATTCGTCAACAGGCAGCAGAACATCTGCTTTTTCTGTTTCAACAAAGAAATCCAGAGAAAACTCATGATAACAGATATTTGAATATGCTGGGTTTTTTCCTTTGTTTCTTAATAGTGTAATCTTCTAATGTCTGTTGCAGGTGAACTGAAGGAAATTAAACAGGACATCTCGAGTCTCCGGTATGAACTCCTTGAGGAAAAATCTCAAAATTCTGAAGATCTGGCAGAGCTTATAAGGAAACTTGGGGAAAAACTGTCAATTGACTCTAAGGAAGAAGAAAGCAAGAGATAACCTAAGTGTTTAAGAAATGCACCAGAATGTTAACAATTCACTTAAAGCCATATTTCTGTTTTTCTCAAGCCTAGCTCACATTTCTACAACAGATTCAGAAATTAAATCATTCCAATTCTTTATTGAAAAACCACAGTGGCAAATCCTCTGGGTCTTCACTAGGGAGGAGATACCACTTGAGTAAAGATACTTATTTATTCTTTACCTACTGAAGAAGACTTAATTTGAGATCATTTTAGTATTCAGTTTCTCTCTTTTACAATTCCGGTGGAATCTTGATAACCCCAGTCATGAAAGATTGAAAGCATAAATCTAAACTTTTCCTACATAAACTGATTATTTTTGCAAATTTCCTTTTGTAGACATTCTTATGTATATTTTAGTGAAACAAAAGAGGAAAAATCCGGGCTTTTACATATTTATATCAAAAGCTGTTTAATTATTCAGGCATTCCCAACAAGCAAAAAAAAAAGCTAACTGCCTTTCTTAAAAATGTGCAGGATATTAAAATAATTTATCTGAAGGTTTTGTTGACGAGGTAGATGTCAGAATACTCAGGGCGCTGTGTTATACTTTTCCGTGCTTATCCCTGTCACCACTGGATTATCCTGAAAGATACCTAGGTTCCAATGGGCGTTAACATATTAAGAAAGAAATATTTTTCACCAAGTTTGTTGAAAAGCTGTTCCTGAGACCTGAAGAAAACTTCTTTAATCCAAAATAATTAATCCTTTAATTTCTAATCTGTTCCAGAATTCCCAAATTCTCCAGCTTTTATGTCCTGAATTAAAACTCACAAACTGTGGGGTAGGGGGTTGAATGTAAAGCTGGTAACATGTTTATTTAAGGTGGAAGATACTAAAAGGTTACATGCAATCCCTCTCTGAATTCTGGGAACGTCATGCATTGGGGACCATGTTTCCCCACAGTTAAACTTGTTTAAGTCATTGAATTTTGTTCAGATCTATCCGTAGCAAACAAAAACATGTTGTTCTAAAAATTCATGAAATCTCATCTTCAATGGATTTACATCCCTTGTCCTTTTTTTCCACTGGAGAATGCTCAGCCCTTGTGATGTATTCCCTAGGACTCCGTCAATGAAGAGTCTTCACTCCATGTCATCAGCAGAAGCCTCCAAACGCTTCCACCCTGCCCACTGCAATACTTCTATGTCTCCTTCTGTTAAACTGGAGAAGAGGTAGCCCATGCCGTGTCTGGCTGATAGTTGTGTCACTGGCCAGCTAATACGTCCATGCAGGACAGTCAGCTAGTTTCTGTCTCTCCAGATAGATACAGGCTGAATTCCATCTAATTTCTCCCTCAGTTAATACAGTAATTTGAGTTTCTGTCTTCTGACAATCACCAATTCTGGGACTGTTAGAAGCATATATTACATTGGGGATCTCTGCTCATCTTTAAGCTTGGTTGAAATTAGTGCAAGGCCTGTGAAAAATTGTAACAGGAACATCAAGATGTATAACACACTTGTAAAAGTCTTGTATGTTTAGGAAACAAGGCTGAAAATGGCTTGTCAGTAATTGTTTTTAAATGAGCTTTGTGAAAATTATTTATTGTGGAATGTATCAGGATGTTTCTGCCTCTCCCTTTTAGACTGGAGGTTATTTTTTAATGGGTTTAGATTAGTTTCTAGCTGAATTTACTGATAGCCCTTTTAAAAAAATTTGTTTGTGAAATCACTGTATATTTTCAGGGAGAAAAGAGTGTGTTAGAATGGGTTTTGAAATCACATGGAGACAGGTGGAGGCGAGGGGCTGTGTCCTGCCTGGAAAGCAATGGAAGCCACTGTGGAGGTTGGCCTGCCCTGAGGGTGTTTGTCATGGTTTGAGGGAGCTGCTCAGCCTTCTGCTTGGCCCATTAGCTTAGCCACAAATGGGGCGTGTGGGACAATCCGTGTCCTGTGGGCCTCAGGCGTAATGAACTCAGGGTTTAGAAACGTTTAAGGCTTCTTCCTCTGAGGGAGGAGAAGGAAGGTGAGACTTTCAAAGTTAGTAGAGCAGTTTGTATTAAAAACCGCAGTGTGCTGCCCTGAAAAACTATGAGCTCTGAATAGCCAATTTCCTAACTCATCTTTGATCATGAAAAAGCATTACCTCATAACCTGCAGTATTTCCTGTGGTAATCAGCAGAGGGTACTGCGGACTTTGAGATGACCTGACTAGCTGGTCTTTGTCATGAACGCTCTGGTTTTTGTGTCAGCCGTTGTGTGGAAAATGAAGGCAGTTGGTGTGATCTCTGGGTCCCAAGGACATGGACCTGTTGGAGTGAGTCCAGAGGAGGCCACGAAGATGATCCGAGGGCTGGAGCACCTCTCCTATGAAGGCAGGCTGAGAGAGTTGGGGTTGTTCAGCCTGGAGAAGAGAAGGCTCTGGGGAGACCTTAGAGCAGCCTTCCAGTACCTAAAGGGGCCGACAAGAAAGCTGGGGAGGGACTTTTTACAAGGGCATGGAGTGATAGGACAAGGGACAATGGCTTTAAACTGGAAGAGGGAAGATTTAGGTGAGATAAGGAAGAAATTCTTCCCGGTGAGGGTGGTGAGGCAGTGGCAGAGGGTGCCCAGAGAAGCTGTGGCTGCCCCATCCCTGGAAGTGTTCAAGGTCAGGCTGGATGGGGCTTTGAGCAACCTGGTGTGGTGGAAGGTGTCCCTGCCCATGGCAGGGGGGGTGGGAACTAGATGGTCTTTAAGGTCCCTTCCAACCAAACCATTCTATGATTCTATGATCTTGGGCTGGAAGGCAGTGTGACGCTAACTTCACTGCCTTTTGGCTTCTGGATGGTTCCTGCCCGTCTCCCTTGGCCAGGACTGGCCACTGCTTTTGAGTTCCCACTGGGGTATTTTGGGCCTGGTTTTCTGAAGCGGTGAGCACTTACTACAGCTCCATTGAATGACGTGTTAGAGGCCATACTGCTCAAAGCGTATCTTCCACATTTGACAAGCTCTTTGGAAAATCTGTTGGTCAGAACTTGAGGTAACAAGGAGAGCCAAAGATTGCTTTCAGTAATAAAAAGTCTTTATTTTTGGTCATCGTCATGCAGAATTTGGATCTGTGGTCTAGTGCTAAATGATGGTAAAACCGTCAATCTCCATAAACCCAATGTAAGGAAATGCATAAACACAGTTTAAGATCCAGGCACTTTTAAAGTGAAGATTTTTATTACAGAGGTAAAATGGACACTGTGAATTTGTTTAAGCCCAAATTTTGACTTACCTTAAAACTATAAGAGCGTAATGTATATATTGTATTTCATGAAGAAAACACATACGGATTTTTTTAATTCAATGAAGATATTTTATATGTAATTATTACTCATGGAACAATTTGTTAAATATATTTGAAGAGGTATATTGCCAAATGTAGTGTGACAAGCAATGTAGTATTTAAAATGAGCACAATACCAAATATATTATTCTGATAAAAAAATTAAATGTACCAGACTCAAAATACCTTTGTGATGCATTGTATGAACATGTTGGTCCTTCACTGGGAACCTTTGACTGCTCTTGCTTGGCAGACAGCAGCAAGACAAATATGGTAAAATACTCAAATTTGCTAGCAACACTAGTACAAAAAAAGTTTCACAGAAGGAACAAAGGTCTTTTCATACTTTATTAGACTCCAGATCAAGTATTTTTGCCTGCTGTGACTAACTGTGACTTATACTGGATGCTTCAGAACATCTGTAGTAGGTAACAGATAATTTGCATTCTGCATAGTTCTCCTTCTGGTTTCTAGTAAGACAAGGTTGATACAACTTTCATGAGGAAGTGTTTCCAGATTTTTTTGTGAATTATTAGGATAACAAGATAGTCTTGCTACCTTCTTAATTGTTTCTTTAAATCTTGTTAGTTTTTTGAGCTCAGCAAGTCACAGTTCCTGCAGCTTCCACATCTAAACCAGACTTACTACGAAGAAGCATTGCCTTCATTTTTTTTTCCCTTGAATATTTCTTAAGCTTGAATTGTGATACATGGTGAGTAGAATCTGTCATCTCTTAGACATTCTCCTTTCTGTTCATGTAAACATATTTCACTAAAAGATATAGGAGGGCTTAAGAAATTCTGAACAGAAGAAAATGCAGTGAGAATATCCCCAGATCAACAAAGCTTTGTCCAAGGGTTTCGCCCACTATTCTGGATGAAACTGAGTCATGCCTATTGGGAAAAAGCCTTATACATGATGGAGAACTGCAGATATTAGACAGTAATGTTGCAGTACAAGCTTAAGGTACTGAAGATTTACAGTAACAGGTCCTGAGTAAGAGCTACAGAGTTTCACATATAGATTCAGATATTCCACATTAAAATCTGCTGTATTTCACCCTATTGCAGAGCACCGCCAGGCCAAGCCAATGAATCCTGCTGGTTTTGGAAGTGGGATCTACGGGTTTGTCTGATTTTAAATGCCAGCCATGAAGACTTCTGCATCTGAGCTCATGTAGACTTTCTCTATATTCAGTGGATAGAAATACTCAAAGGCATGATTTTGTTTCATCTTAAGGTAGACAAGTAACCCAGGTGAGTCATACAGTAGAAGTGACCGTTTCTCTCCAGTTACTCTAAAGAAGCCACTGTAGCCCTTAGCAATGCTTATAATGAAGTGTGAGAAGTCCCAGCTTGGCAGAAATGAGCTCTGCAGTACACTGCAGAGCCAGGTACCATCACAACTGCTCATCTGCTTGGAAGTGCTTGAACCGGTGAGGCCGGTCATTGAGAGGGGTAGGATCTACCCTGCCTCCGGAAGAATCCAGCCCATCCCTCAGGGATGATGGATGAGTATGGTTCTTCTTTCCTGTGCAGCAATATTACATTTTTTTCTTCTTCATTAGTGAAACTGTGGTTAGGCATAAATGGAAATACCCATTAACTGCATCTACCCCAGATGTGAGAAAAACTAACTTATTGTGCACATGGCAACTAAATTCTTGTTGATAAACCAGGAGCTTTATGGTAAAGAGGAGTTAATGTCCCATGTTTTAGTACA